TTGAAAAACAGGAAACATAAAAGACATGAGAGGGGGGAAAGGTAACACTGAACCCTCTCCCCCTAAAATAACTGGTTCTCATCAAAGTTGGAGTAAAACATAGACCGACTGGTTAAGCAACAAGGAAATACTGAATAAGAGAAGATCGAAGCACATAATAGAGAAAACAGCATTACTGTTAGTACCTCACTGCTCTTAAGAGATAGTTATCTCCAGTCCTTAATTAGTATACATTCAATCAATATGCTACACACCTGTAAGACTGTAGTCCCATTAAGAACACGCATCATCTGACTTTTATTCATTTGCTTTTGTAGATTGTCTCTGAGTTTAAAACCAAGTTGAATCTCAGGAGAAGGCATGCCTAGAATAAAATATATTCACAAATCACTTACAACAGCTTTATTGTTGTGCTTTGACAATGAACCATGGATTTTATTAACATTGAAAAATGTCTTTTAAAATTATTTTGAAAATCCTAATTTTGTAATTGTCACCTTATGTCTCAAGGTTTCTGAATCATTAGGAGAAAATTCATTTACTACATTTAATAAAATAATACTTTATATTTCTTCCAGGAAAAAGGAAATTTAAGCCCCATCAGAAAGAATCCTTATTCTCTTTATCTTTTTTCTAACATTTTTTAGGTCAATTATAAAAACACATTATGCTACCATATAACAAAAAGAACAATGGCTTAACTTTTCTTCCCCTATTTACAAATTCATAAAAAATCCACAGAAATTTCTATTTTAAAAATAATGACTATGAAAATAATAGGAAGTCTATCATCCACAGATCAGAAGACTGGGTTACTTTTTTTTTTTTAATCAGTGGGTAGGAGCAGAAATATATTTAAAAACAAAATGTCTCAGTTCAAATATGTTAATTCTAAAGCAGAATAAATAAAGCCTCATACTTTACTGAACTTGCTGTTTATACCAATGAAGCTTAGAGAAAAAATGCAGCAGCCAGCTACTTGACTTACGGCAGTATCTTCTCTACCAGATACAGAAACATAGTAAAGGCTAAGGATAATAAAGAATGTAGTGACAATGCAGGAATATCACACAGATAATGAAACAAATAAGGGAAACAGATCTTTAAGTAAATCTGATACTCTAGCATATAACAATAATGGCATTTTAAACAGCTGCAAAAGATGGATACTTCAATAAATAATACTAGAACAACTGGTTAAATATTAAAAAATAAAGCTAGAGTTCTACCATTTCCATGTACCAAAATATTATAGACAGATACATGTAAATATAAATATAATGTGAATTTTAAAAAATATTTAGGATCTTGAGGTAGGTAAAATATTTCTAAACTTGAAATAAAATCAAGAAGCCCTAAGAGCAAAAACGGATAGATTTGATTACATAAAAGCTTCAAATTTCTACAATGTGAAATATATCCTGAATAAAAATTTTTAATAACCAGCAAAATAGGTAAAACTAGTTGTAATTATTATGACAAAGTTTGTTTTCTTTAATATAAAATGATCTTATATTTAGATAAATATATATGCAATTCACTTGCACAAAATAACTATGAATGGGCAATATTAGAATATTACTAACCCCAGGATTCTTTTTTTTAAAAAAGCAAAGTAAAACAGATCTTTTCACTCACCAGTTCAACAAATAAAACTTGCTCTCTATTGGGTCTAAAGGAGAAAGGTCACACCTTTTAGGTTGGTGGCAGGGGGCACTCATGTGAAAATCTGGTATGTACAAACCCCTTAAAAGCAAATCTACACAGACGGGCATTGGGTCTCCATGCAAGTACTCCCTCAAAACAGAACACATTGTTCTAACAACCTGGCATTCTGTGAGGCTCCCCTTCCTGA